TTGTCCTCCACAGTGGACATGCTATGAAATTAAAATTAAAAATATTTAAAAAAAAATTGAAATTGTAATGTTCTTTTTTAGGTCCAAATACATGGAAAATCACAACAAAAATAAATTTTAAGACACTTTTTTTCTTTGGGTCTCAGGAGGATAAGAGGACAACTTGTGCTCCTCCTGTTTCCTGAAGGTTCTCCCATATTATGAAATATGTAAAACATGTGTTATTACAAACATTTTGTGTTGAATGGGTTTAAATTTGTTCTGAATTTGTCTTTATCTGAGAGGAAAAGGTGAGTATGACTCAAACCGAAGGGTTTCTGTTGCTCTGTGTGAAAGTTTTGTTTTTGTTTCCCGTCTGGATTTATTACCAGGCGACTCTTTCCTCCTTTTTCCTTGATTTTTTTGTGTAATAAACAACTTTATTTAATAAACCGTTGTATCAGTCAGAGGGGGTCACTTCTGGAACAAACCCCCAACAAACATCAGGGAAGGTCCCACTTTTTATACATTTAAAAAGCACCTTAAACTGTTTCTCAAAAGTTCCCAGTCATGCAATCACTAATTTTATTTTTGTAATGTCATTGTCTGAACGTGTGTCTCTCTGTTTTAACTGATTTTGTATTATGTGATTTTGTGTTGTTTTGTCGACAGATGTAAGCTAGCAACTATGCTAGAATCTGGTTAATTTACAATCTGTATGAGATTGTTCATTGATGTGCACTGTCCTGATTAAATAAATAAAAAAATAAACTTTTGTGTTGCCACTGAGCATTAAAAGGTGGATCGTCTAAGCACTTATTTTATTGTAAAAATCTCTGATAAAATCAGCTCAAAAGACAATAAAAATCCCTTCCTGTTCCTCATTGTTCAGCCACTAATAATTCAGTTTGACCTAAGGGGGGGGGGTCCTAAAACTGTTCCCCTAAAGGCTTTTCCCTCCGGCCGGATCTGGTTCCTGAGGGAGGAAACCCTTTTTTAATTGGCTCTGTATGAATTGGACTAATTCGGGATTTAATTCAATTGGATTAATTGGATTAGGATGGCAGTAGCAGACATTTGAAAC